AACAGCCTAATTAATATTCAAGTCTCTTTGATGCAAAAGATTATCATTAAGCATCTTGAGCATCCATAATAGAAGCCGTCTTAATATGAACATAGCCTATCATCTACGTTCGCGACACAATTACTAATTAAATTTTTTTTTTAATTGAATATTAAGATAAAGTGTCTTTTCTCGGTTCATGCGATTTTATTTGCCAAAGAAATTTAATCATAAAATATTGATGTGCCATCTTCTTATATGCAAACAGATTCGTACTACGCATACAGATGTTTACTACATATTATTCCATCTCCGTAGAATGTTAAGTAATCCCCGAAGAAAATCTGATCAAAAATACATTTGAGGGAACAAAGTTATTTAAAAAAATATGTTCGTACCGCGTATTATTGATATCGCGACGAGAATAGAAGAAGAAACAAATGTTACCTGAAACGTGCAGCGAAATAAAAGTCTCAGATTTATATTTCATTAATTATCCCTTCGAATCTCTCGGAGATTATCTGCTACGGATATTCGCCGATTTTCAGGATCGTGACCATGCAAAATGCCGAACCAAGTCGCGATGTAAGCCCCCGGGAGCTTTTTATGCGATAAGCATGCCGTTTCCGCGAAGGGAGAAGACGGCATTATTCCAGGGATAGCATCGAACGAATCGTTATCTTCTCTCCGCGGAGATAATGACCTCGCAAGTCGACGTTGATAGCGCCTCCTCTCATTTCATGCAGAACAAAACTGTTGTTCCTTCGCGACAATGTACTTAAGGCACCATCGATAACGAAAGGATTCAAACGTCATCTCTCAGTTTTCTCTGCAATTCTTGTCCCTCTTTCTATGACTAGAGACATGAGTGTCGCATTTCCCGCGCGAATGGTCGTCTCTATGGGAAGCTCGATTTATATTGGACTACTTATGCATCGATTCGATTAAACTGTACGGCACACAGTTCACCGCTTTCTCTTTATCATGATAACAAATGGTACCGCTTTTACAAAAAAAATCACAATTATTTTTTCAATAAAGAAAACTCAAAAGTGTCTCCATTTTTTTCGCTTTTATATCACAAAACAGAAATGTCATTTCGAAATTAATTTTATCCTTAACCTTTGTGTGTTATAATACTCTAGTCGTATATTTCTATATTTAATTTTCAAAAACTTGTTTGTCAACATAGTTTTGTCAAAGTATTAATAAAATATTTAACTATATATTTATATGGCATTTTTATAATGTTATCAAGAGAAAAATATAAATAACATTTTATATCGACTTAATGGCGCACAAAAATTTTAAAATAATAATTTAATATAATCGTTACACATGCTACAATTCGAGTACCGATTTATATCATTTATTTCATATTCAAATCTTCCTCAAGTGATAAAATTAAACAGTTTTTGAATGTAATATTTTCAACAAAACTAAATAGAAATTGTAAATATAAAACCAATAATAATCTTCGAGAACAAAATTTTACTTCTCGTATGAATTTCGGTCTTGCATCATAACCGTGTGGTTAGCCGTATATTAACGCGTATCAAGTGGACACAGTATGTGTCCTCAAGGCCAATTAACCCTGTTTTAAGCGATCAAGCCCTTCGTCTGAGCTCGCCGCTGAGGTTGCGGCCAGGGTACACGCGTAGGTCGCACAGGTATATATGGGTAACACACACCGGTGGCGGTGTGCCCAGCACGGCATGTAAACCGGCCGCGTATGGCCAGAGGTGGTTATATAGGTCGCACAACAGTCACTTGAGATTAATTACCAAGTGCATCGTTAGAGATAACGCGACGAAGGCTGCGGCGGCGGTTAAGTGAGGCGGCTGCAGCTAGATACGACGTTAAATTGAACCTTTCGTCGCCGCTGATTCCTGCACTGCCGTCGCCGACCGCACCGGCCTGACCACGACTCGGTGTAAGCCGAGTACAATATGCCGTACTTGCCTAAAAGCAATTACTGCCGACGTGCCGCATACACGCACACACACAGATACGCGCGTGGATATGCACTCGACGATAGTGCGCGATATAATATTGTTCGGAGAGAGCGTCTCGATCATACCGGCTTCGTCAAACCTATAACGGGGACACGAGCGAAAGACACGCAGGCGATATTTGATGTTAATCTCCGCACACGGTTGCTAGATATCATTATGGTATACGGATCGAGCTACATCACGTTAATAGCTTCGACAGACTCTTTGCAGAAATACAGGATGGATACTTTACTGAACGATCTCTCAGAATCTTCAAACTTGTATATTATGTATGTGATTATGAAATAATATCGCATCTTGAAAATAATATTGTCATAAATTCTAAATAAATATACTCTTTTATGAAAAAATGTATATTTAAACATTTCTGTTACCACAATTCGCAATAAAATGATTATTATTTGATAGATTGAAAACAATAATCACACACACACACACACACACACACACACACACACACACACACACACACACACACACACACACACACACACACACACACACACACACACACACACACACACACACACACACACACACACACACACACACACACACACACAATTTATAATAACAAACCTATATAACTTTATAGCATATGGAAAAGAAAATAGAAAAATCCTAAATTCTAAATGTTTAAATAAGTTTCCAATATTTAATGTAGATCTCAATTATAAATTAAATTATTCATGAAAAAAATAATCTTTTATTAAAAATTTCATAACACATAATATTTTCTTTTCATTTCTAATAAAGATAATTTTTGAAAAATTGTAGCAAACAAGGTGCCTTTTATAGTTTGTACAAAAATTGAAAATTTAATAATACCAATAATATAATATAGGATAAAAAAATACGTACATAAAATAATGATATCCGAAATACGTTCATATAAAACTAATAATTCTTTTTATTTCTTAAAAATCGGATTTCCTTGTTTGCGTTTAATCACGTTCAGTCTTTTTTTAGCGAAATGTCAAATTTAATACATTACACAATGCAGTAAAATAAAGAAATATTTTATTTCTTATTTAATCCACAAAAATAGACTAAAGATTAATACTTTAATTGTTCAACGATATTATCAAGTGTTATAAATAAATAAATAATAAGTCACATAATATAGCACTAAAATTTACTCACCAGCTGATGTCCAACCGCTGCAATCCGTCAGCTCTCTATTCCTGTTGCTCGAAGCACACTAATATACACAATTATAGCACTAATTATCACTTACGATACGACCGATTATTTTATACGACACTTCCGAGCGCACACACACACAACACAATACACTTTCAACGCAAAATATGAGAATTCTCGATTGTTACAATCTCGATTATTACACACGCGAAATAATTCTGTCTAGAATAACGCGAAATATGATGATCGCTGTTTAAAAAGCTTGAAAGACGGCACAACTTTACGTCGTTGCTGGAAGATTAGTTTCGGCGAACGATGACGAGCATATGATGTACTTTACGTATGGCGAAAAGATTACGTCAAGTTAGGTTAGGTTAGGTTAAGTCGCGATCACACCTTGATTTCACGATTCGACATTGCTGACACTAGCAAACTAATGGTACTACCAACATTGCCCACAGTGTAAATGGTGTCAACATTGCTGATAATGCCAGCAGTGCTGACAATGAGATATGAAAGAATTCTAAAGAGACAACTTCATACCGACGCTACCTTGCATATTGGCTAACAATGCAACGGACGCGATTAATTTTGAATGAATGAATGCCGAAAGATTGATCGATCGTACGCGGTATGATGCTTCACAATGTTTGTCCGTTGCTAGATTCAATACTGCCGACGATTCCGAGATATGCATAAGCGCAACAACTGCATCGTGCGGACGTTCAAAAAACGACGAGCAACAGCCGACGGGACGAACGCAATCCGTTTTACGAATGTTGAAAAACTAACAATCACGCGACCGCCATGCACTGTAACATTTCGTGACGACTGTGCGTCGTTGGATTCGACGTTGTCGACATTTGTTCGACGACGTTGTGTACAGAACTCACCTCGAAGAAGAAAAAACACACACGAAACACAGAACGACTTTTGCTCACGTCCGATCTTTCCGTCATATTCCTGTGAACTGATCTGCACACGGCCATGACGTCACATTTGCGATAATCACGTGACATCTGAATAGCGGTAATCACATAATATTCAAATTATTTTTCAAAAAATACACCACGAATTATTTGTATATCGCCAAGTTGTATAACTTTCGTTGTTATTACACTTGAAAGCCAGTATAGCAAGCTTAAAATAATGTTAGTTAAAAATAGATACACTATATTCCACGCAAGTAATTGTGTTAAAAAAGTCATACAAACAACAGATTAATCGGATATTCCATGGCACATCTACCTTGCTAATCTTTGAAAAATAAAACCGACATTCGTGCAGTTCCATTAAAGTCGCGCAAAAATAACAATTCGCGGAGAAAAGAGAACTTAAGTAAAATAACATCATCCTTCCAATAGCGATCTTCTGTATTATTTTTTAAAGTGGAAAGACTAGTTTCGAATACCGCAGAAAATGTATGGGCTGATAAATGACTTTAATTTCGTCACGGAAAACTGTCTTTTATTTATGCTAATTATACAGTTAAAAGATCCATTAAAAGAAAAATTTACTTCAAATTAATCGACGCAAATTTGTTGTTAAACGTTTGTAACGTGCGTTAATGACGGGACAGAGCTCATACATTTATGCGTGTAATCCCGCGAGAATAGTATGCGCGTGTCGTTATCAAGGAATAATTTATGAAGTCGCGATTGAAAATTCCGCAATATTCCCACATTTAAATCTCGATTAAATTTCAATCCATGTAGAAGGGACCGGCAATTATTCGACGATTGAAATTCACATCAGTCGAGAAAGAGGCGATCCCACATTCGATCAGCGAGAAAATCCACAGGGTGTTAGCCTCTCCTCCCCATTTTTACTAGAGAAAAATTCCGATGTATAAATTTGCCGTAGGTGGGATGGCTGCGTGCCGAGGATCAAACGATACTATCGATGGGTGATCGCCGGGTCACCCACTCGCCCCGATTCTTCGTCACCTTGGAGAACGCCAAGACGAAGAATCAGACGCAGTCGCGGGAGGACGAGGAGGCCACGTGGCAGCTACATATCCGCGCGCTGAAGGAGGCCGACCGTGGTTGTTACATGTGCCAGCTCAACACCAAGCCCATGCTGAGCCAGCTGGGATGCGTGGACGTCCTAGGTATGCCTAATTGCACGCGTTACGTCGCATTCCCGGGCCGACCAGGCAGGCCGGGTTTGCGGCCGTTGGATAGGACATCACATACGCACGTACTGCGTTTCGATTAGACCGGGTGCCCCGACGCCGGCTTTAGGGGTCGGAAAGTATGCGTGCCTCGCCGCTACAGCAGCGCGTTTGAATGGACCGTCGTGCGCACGTGTGCAGGTATTATCTATGTCGTGTGACATCGATGGTTTCTCTCGCCGTGCCTATTCATGCGTATAATGCATAAAGTGCCTGTCGTGGTATCTTTTGGTAAGTTATGACGGGGGGAGATTCGACGTTAACCGACTTTCAAAAAAAGCGCTGAAATGATGGCTCGTGAAATATCAGGACTCTTGTTTTCTCGTCTTTAAATTCTATAATCCCACCTGGGAATCTACTGAATGATTCAAGCGCGCGTATCATTTAATCTGATCTGATTAATGATGAATTACTTCACGTGTATTCCACAAGAAAATGTAATATCGATTCAACGCGAGTTAGTTTACAAGGAGCATTATCGGTCATATAAAAAACGGCTAACGGCTGCGCCTTAATTTATAGTTTAATTAAACGCGATAACGAAGTTCGAAAGTCTACCTGGCGGAGAGTATCCGCCAAGAGAGTGTTCACTGACTGCGTCAGCTGATGGATGTTCACAGTACTTTGTGGCTCACGCGCAAACATCAAGCTAAACTGTTTCTATTAAATTTACATTATCCTTTTAACGCTAATTACACCGGCATAACACGCGCAACTCAATATTTACTACGCTCGACTTATACATCAGCAATATCGTAGCTGTCGCGTCAATTTCTCGTCGAGATACGCGCAGCGCGCTTCTTGCCGTGACGTCATGAAATGTGCGATTTTTCACTTTTACATCACCAACAAATTCGGCAATAGATTTACGAATAATATCATCTATCTACTTCGTGCGTGAGAGGACGGACTCGGGGCAAAGGATTAAACGGGAATGCATGCCATCCGCGTGCGTGCCTGTGCGTTGTCGGACGCCAAAAAGCGGTCTTTCGCTGCCGAATGAAATGAAATTCCTTTGTGCGGAAACACGAGAAAATGCCATTCTTTTTTTTACGTCGTTCCGTTCGCGACATACTTGTCTGGCTTGAATGATTGTAATTGAAACGAATCGAACGGCTCTGCGAAAATTGGACGGAATTCCATCAGGAGAGCGTCCCCTCTTCCTTCTCGCTGAGGATGTCCCGCCGATATTTCATTTCCGTCGAGTGTGACGGGAATGATTCCGAGATGATTTTTCGGTCGTGCTCGCCAACTACGTCTCGGGTTAAATCGGGTTAGAACGACGACGGTATGGATTCTTTACGGTCGACGAACCAGTTTCCGTCTGCGAAGTTTCGTTCTGGCCAAACGTTGGGCGAAGACGTCGAAGAGACTTATATGAAGATATATCGTTTTGCGCGGCGCGAAATGATTCCGATTCGTAAATTGTTTCGCCGTTGTAGACAACGGTCGGAGCGACGTCGTCAGGCGAAATTGCATCATAATCTTCGGACACGTGTTGAATTTTATGATAAATGGACGCGCGCAAGCGGTGTATCGAGAAATTCGTTCCATTCCACAAAGGCCGCGCGATGACGTTCTGTATACTTTACATTTCGTATACACACAATGCAGTTCAGAAAGCGCGCTTGCTATACAACCGCTTTATTATTCTTTTGTTATCGAACTTTACACATGCTTCCCAGCGGCCAGTTCAATATGGCAACAATGAAATGAATTACGATATAAAATATTAATTTAAAAGAATTTTGCCATTTCATTTTTTTCTTTTCGCGAATATGATTAAAACAAACAGGATAGATTATTAATTTTCCATATTGTATTTTACGAAATGGGATACAATTGAATAAAACTCACTTCGAAAAACGCATGAGTAACGTGAGATTAATTTCACAGGAGACACAAAGAATTATGTCGGAAATATTTTTGTTCTGCGGTCATAAATTTTTGACACAACATATCCTTCGTGATCCCAGTAATTCACTATGATATATATATTGTTGCGCAGATTTTAGATAGCATAATTTTTCAATGAAATAATTCTTCCTTATCGTGGTCTGGCGCATTTTGCACAGCTTATTTCAGTTTAATTTATTTTATTTTACTGCATATTTTGTTTTGTTTTAATTTTATCTTAGTACATTTGCATAGAACACTCACATTCTGCAATTTGGACGTCAGAAAGTCAGACAATTTAAATCTGCATACACGTAAGAAACTTTTCCAAGTTTATCGCGAACTTGGATAGTGTGAGTTTCTAGCGTTATCGTATAATACAATTTTATGCATTTTATTACATCTCGCCTTTGCTTTGATAATATTCTTCGATCTTGTTCTTTCTCAGTACCACCTGATATTCTAAGTTCTGGCACTTCGGACGGCGAGGTTTCCGTTCTCGAGGGTGAGAACGCCACGTTGTCGTGCAAGGCGTCTGGCCGGCCACCGCCTCGCGTGTTCTGGCGACGCGAGAAAAGTGATTTCATACTCATGCGGGGCTTTCACGATCCGTTGATACAAGGTGAGATATCGCCCCTATATCCCGATCCTGGGATTGTCACTGCTGACGATCCTCGTAATCGCCATTACAAAGGGACGTGGATCCGTCGCATGAAACACGCGTTGTTTCGGAATGAAATCTGTCTCTCCCTCTCTCTCTCTC